ATAGACGTACGTAGTCATCAAAGTATGGTGTCATAGAGGTACGTAGTCACCAAAGTATGGTGTCATAGAGGTATGTAGTCACCAAAGTATGATGTCATAGAGGTACGTAGTCACCAAAGTATGGTGTTACAGGGGTAAGTAGTCACCAAAGTATGGTGTCGTAGAGATACGTAGTCACCAAAGTATGATATCATAGACGTACGTAGTCACCAAAGTATGATATCATAGAGGTACGTAGTCACCAAAGTATGGTGTTATAGAGGTATGTAGTCATCAAAGTATGGTGATATAGACGTATGTAGTCATCAAAGTATGGTGTCATAGAGGTACGTAGTCACCAAAGTATGATGTCATAGACGTACGTAGTCATCAAAGTATGGTGTCATAGACGTACGTAGTCATCAAAGTATGGTGTCATAGAGGTACGTAGTCATCAAAGTATGGTGTCATAGAGGTACGTAGTCATCAAAGTATGATGTCATAGAGGTATGTAGTCATCAAAGAATGGTGTCATAGAGGTAAGAAGTCACCAAAGTATGGTGATATAGAGGTAAGTAGTCACCAAAGTATGGTGATATAGAGGTACGTAGTCACCAAAGTATGGTGTCATAGAGGTATGTAGTCACCAAAGTATGGTGTCATAGACGTACATAGTCACCAAAGTATGGTGTCGTAGAGGTATGTAGTCACCAAAGTATGGTGTTACAGAGGTACGTAGTCACTAAAATATGATGTCATAGAGGTACGTAGTCACCAAAGTATGGTGATATAGAGGTACGTAGTCGCCAAAGTATGGTGTCGTAGAGGTGCTTAGTCATCAAAGTATGGTGTCGTAGAGGTACTTAGTCAGCAAAGTATGGTGTCGTAGAGGTACTTAGTCAGCAAAGTATGGTGTCGTAGAGGTACGTAGTCACCTGAGTTTTGTGCTATAGACGTATGTAGTCATCAAAGTGTGGTGTCATAGAGGTATGTAGGCACCAAAGTATGGTGTCGTAGAGGAACTTAGTCATCAAAGTATGGTGCCGTAGAGGTACGTAGGCACCAAAGTATGGTGTCGTAGAGGTACGTAGTCACCAAAGTATGGTGTCGTAGAGGTATTTAGTCACCAAAGTATGGTGTTATAGAGGTACGTAGTCACCAAAGTATGGTGTTACAGAGGTACGTAGTCACCAAAGTATGATGTCATAGAGGTATGTAGTCACCAAAGTATGATGTCATAGAGGTACGTAGTCACCAAAGTATGGTGTTATAGAGGTACGTAGTCACCAAAGTATGATGTCATAGAGGTACGTAGTCACCAAAGTATGGTGTTATAGAGGTACGTAGTCACCAAAGTATGATGTCATAGAGGTACGTAGTCACCAAAGTATGATGTCATAGAGGTATGTAGTCACCAATGTATTGTGTTATAGATGTACGTAGTCACCAAAGTATGGTGTTACAGATGTACGTAGTCACCAAAGTATGATGTCATAGAGGTACGTAGTCACCAAAGTATGGTGTTATAGAGGTACGTAGTCACCAAAGTATGATGTTGTAGAGGTATGTAGTCACCAAAGTATGGTGTTATAGAGGTACGTAGTCACCAAAGTATGATGTCATAGACGTACATAGTCACCAAAGTATGGTGTTATAGAGGTATGTAGTCACCAAAGGATGATGTCATAGAGGTACGTAGTCACCAAAGGATGATGTTATAGAGGTACGTAGTCACCAAAGTATGATGTCATAGACGTACATAGTCACCAAAGTATGGTGTAGTAGAGGTACGTAGTCACCAAAATATGATGTCATAGAGGTACGTAGTCACCAAAGTATGGTGTTATAGAGTTACGTAGTCACCAAAGTATGGTGTTGTAGAGGTATGTAGTCACCAAATATATGTTGCCTGTTGACCTTTGAATCTTGTTACAGGTGAAGCCATTAGGTGTGATTTGGGGGAAATACAAACAGTGGACAACAAAGAATACCATTATGTTTGATGACATCAGAAGGAACTTCATCATGAACCCTCAAAATGGACTGCGGGTAAACATCTTAACTCAATACATATCATTCATTTATTAAAAACACATTCACTACTAATATTTACTGTCATTGGAGAAAAATAAAGTTTAAAAGTACATTTCTTTATGTAATGACAGTTCAATAATTTTGTCGAAGTTAATCCATGCATTAAATGCAGTTTGATGTGATTTTTAAGTTACGATGGCGATATGATACGATGGCGATATGATTGCCATATCCAATGAACCTTACATTTGTGCATTCACTGTTTTGTAGATAAAGGCGTTCAGAGAGGCACATCAAAACAGAATGAAAGATCGAGAACTTCTTAAGCTGGCCAAGTATCTCAAAGACATATCAACAGTGGAAGATTTCACAACACTCAATCACAGAAAATGGGAAAAGTAGGTTTCATCTCTATCTTCTAATGAACACTGATTAGGGGTCCAATGTAGAATCATTTTCTGTAAAGATTTCCCTTATTACAACTGTTGGAATGGAAGCTTGTGTATCATGAATACCAGTATATACTAGTACCAAATCTTCACATGGGAAACAGCCTTCCTGATCCAAACATTAACCTCCAACCCCCTTTATTGTATCTGTATGCAAGAGGGGAATCAAAGTTAACAAAACCTTATCGCTGTTCTTAACTATAATTTCTATAAAACTGTATCCGGTATATCAGAGATGTACAATTTCTTATTTAAAGTAATAGGGAGGACCACAGGCATATTTTTTGAAATTCTGCTGTTTACCCAACGTTTATTTTCATAACGATTATTGAAAACATGCATTTATTCCAGAAAAATCACATTGGATATGGTTTCCAAAAATAGTATGTAGTTATTTTCCAGGTGATAAAATTTTAGGAGGAAATGAAATGGTAGAGGCAGTTCTTCCAAATAGAGTATTTGAATATTTAGAAATAATGCTAATTACTTAAATTTTCTACTTCTTTGTAGATATCGGAGCAAGCGAAAGCATGACCATTCTGATGGGGATAATGTCTCAGAAAGCATGAACACTGATTGAATGGTGTGCCGATTATTCTTAACCTCTGAAACTGACATTTGAGCCGAAAAAGAAACAAGCAAGTGGTGGACATAAGTGTGTTTAACCAAGAAAAGCAAACACGCTTTGCACATTCTCAATATTGCTGCAATTGTCACATTATATTTTATGAACTATTGACATGTAGAGTAAGTCTACTTGTTCTATGTAATGGCACATGCCCGTAGGGCAGGATGCTGCACAATTCTGGTAACTGTTGGTATCATCTGTTTAAACTTCAGTTATAAACTGAAATTCTCACCGAGTTGGAAATAGAACATGGTTTGTGAATCACCTACCACAGCTGTAAGTGGACTGGTTTTTGTCAATCACTCACTAAAGAGGATTCCTCACTGACGATGATTTGTCAAATCATGTTTTAAGTTGTGTGACAGAGTATGACGATGATGTAGCAATGTTGAAGAGATGTAATCTTAACGTGTGCAATAAGTGTCTAATGTTCTTATGTTGACTTGGTCAACTTGTCCTTGATAGTTACAGATTTAGCTAATGTAAGAGATCTCGCAAAATACTGCTGACTTGTTTTCTGTTGACAAATATGGCAAGGTTGTTCCACTGAATGGCTTACATAGATCTTGTTGGTTATAACCAAGAAGTCATCACTTTCCATCATGTATATTCTCCTTCCATCCAGCTCAACAACAGTTTATTACTTGTTTCATAAATGTACATCTATCTGGGCCACCAACAGTGATTAATTATATAAGTTAATTTCTTGTTTCAAAATTATATATCTACCTTGTATTTGGGCCAAAAATAGTGATTAATATAAATTAATTACTTGTTTCATAATAATTGTAAAATACATTGTCATTTATTTTCCAAAATATGTAAGTAATTTAGTTTTCTGATGACCTTGAAATAGTAAGGAAATATAAAAAAAAAAAAAATGACAAGGAAATTACAAATGAAAATTTAAAAACTTCTTTGGCCAGTAACTATACCATGTTAGCATTCAATGTTTTTAATCAAAGAGTGTTACTGTATTTACTCTGTAATCATGACCGTGAGTGATGGTATATTTTTCATCAATCTCTTCCAAAATATTATTTTAATGTGTATTTGGTAAAGTATTGCAAATCTTAATCTATATTTAGTTATGAATCTTTAAGTTGTCCACATTGTTGTATGTCAGTGTTGTTATGTACACGTTCAGTGCCAGGTATATTCGTTATACATGTGTGTGTTGACAGACAGAAGACTGTCGATTACCAAGGGACATAACTCTTGATGAGTGTGTGCTGATGATACTCTGAAAAAAGTGCTATATTTCAAGTGGTTGATCTTGGTAACTAAATAAAACAATGAGCTTTTAATTTAGGAACGTTTTTAAGAATCAGATTTTCACAAATGAAGATTATTGTATTTGCTACTTGTTAATATACATGCAATGTATGAGGCTATTCCACTTTATTTGTGGAAAGACTTTTTAGTGATTGCTCAGTGGATGCGAGTTTCCACAGGAAAATTTTGCAAAAAATCTTCAAACTGCATTTGAAAATAACATTGCTGAAAAATGGCATTTGAACAATGAATGGTTTTCCAATTCAGTCTGAATTTCCCTGAAACAGCACAGCAAGTATGGTTAAATGATCTGTACCTTATGAAGTTTCTTTAACATATGTAAAAGCCATAGATTGTCAGCTGTCGCCTAATTTAACATAAGGCAATCCTGGGTCAACTACAAGAAACACTGATTGCTTTTATTATCAGTGTTTCTAAATAAAAATTATCGTCACAGATACAAATGTCTCTTGTTGTTTTTGTTGCAGGTATCAGCACTTAACTTTAAATCTCCAAACTGAAGTAGAATGAAAAAACATTGAGCAACCCAGGTCACTTGTTTAAAGATAGTTAAAAAATATGAGCACCAGTGTCTCCAGGTTGCAAAAAATGAGTTTCTTGACTTCAAAATCAATACATCACTTCTGTATTGATCATGAACGACATACTCCCATTATCATTTAATTTGCGTCGGTGGGGACTGACGGAACACTATCAGAATAAAGTTTGTGCAGAGGGGCACACTTTTTAACGTCTTACCAGGATGCAAAGGTTCACTACAACAACGGTGACAGGACAATACATTGTGGTTCTTTGCTGATCTATATCTGAATTGGATAGAAGATGGAGGAAAATTAGGACATGATCAGACCAGCATGGATTCACGTTATTAAGACCAGTGAGAAAGCCACAAGAACGCATCATATTTCTCCATTTTGACCTTTTAAGTAGGTCAAGGTCATTTTCCTTCACAAACTTTGTTGGCTCTATTCCGAGAAGCTTCCAGCCAAGTCTTATGAATCCATTCCTTTATGATCTTCAGAACTAATCGTTTAAAATGTTGTTGACCTCTGTGACCTTTCAAGTAGGTTGAGGTTCTTTTCATTTGCAAACTTTGGTGAGCTCTATCCCAAGAAGCCACCAGCCGAATATTATGATTCTATGCCTATCGATTATTCATCAGAAATCGTTTGATGTTTTTCACCTATTTGACCACTGTGACCCTGAAAGTAGGTCAAGGTCATTTTCATTTCGAACTTTGTCATGCTCAATCTTAAGAAGTAACCAGCCAAATATGAAGATTCTATACCTTTTAGTTCTTCAGGAGAAGTTGTTTGAAGAGTTTGACATATTTGACCGCTGTGACCTTGAAAGTAGGTCAAAGTCATTATCTTTCTCAAACTTAGTCCGTCTCTATCCCAGGAAGCAACCAGGCATATATAAAGATTCTATCCCTTTCAGTTCTTCAGAAGAAGTCGTTTGAAGAGTTTGACACATTTGTCCCCTGTGACCTTGAAAGAAGGTCATGGTAATTTTCATTCTCAAAGTTTGTTGGGTTCTATCCCATGAAGTCACCAGGCAAATATGAAGATTCTATACATTGTACCTTTTAATTCTTAAGAAGAAGTCTTTTAAAGCATTTGACATAATTTGACAGCTGTGACCTTGAAAGTAGGTCAAGGTCATTTTCATTCTCAAACTTTGCCAGGCTCTATCACAGGAAGCTACCAGCCAAATACGAAGATTCTTTACTTTTCAGTTCTTCAGAAAAAAATGTTTGAAGTGTTTGACACATGTGACCTTGAAAGAAGGTCAAGGTCATTTTCGTTCTCAAACTTTGTCGGGCTCTTCCCATGAAGCTTTCAGCCAAATATCATGACTGCTGGCCTGTCCGTTCTTCAGAAGAAGTTGTTTAAAGGAAAAGTTGACGGACGCCGCACCATGGCATAAGCTCACCTGCCACAAATTGATGTGGAATAACATTAGGGTGGACTGTACTGCTGTTCCTAGTGAAAAATGGTTGCAGAGGATTACCCAGTCAGCATGGAGCACACTGAATTCAGTATGAATAATAAAAGGGAGAGACAGAATTCAGGCCAGCAGAAGATTGAGAGAAGCTGTCGAGAGAGTAATGTTATGGCTGAGGCACTGACTGGACCAATTCGCCTGTTTTGGAGACAGACACAATTTGGCTATCCCATACTTATTCACCAGCCATAGGATATGGTTAACGGTCAAGCCACCTTAAAAGTGCTGGATATCATCTGAAGACGTCGGAGAGGTTCCTGAAAGGGTAGACTATAATTTTAGGATGGCACAGTGTGCAGAATACTATACTGACAAACCATTCTCATTCCATTCCTTGACCACACTGGAAGTGAATAGATACCATCTTTCCCGCCCACATTTGACCCCCTTGCGTCTTATCCAGTACAGCATTTTCATCCGGAGTCAAGTCCCTCACTGTGTGCATCATTTACGACCTTTCAGTCCAAAACATACTGCAGTGTTTATATCACGAATTGCGTCCTAATCGCGACACAACCATTGATGAAGTACTTGACTCCTTTTTATTTGGAATCTGTCCAAAATAGAAATCAGTAAACAAAACTTGATTCAATGCAGTATGCTATGAGGTGGTGTTTTGGTTTATTATTCACAAAATGTGATATCATTAAATTCATTTTATGATATCATTATAGACGTATTTAATGATATCATAAAATCGATTTTATGATATCATTAAATGAATTTATGATATCATAAAATGGAATTAATGATATCATGAAATAGCCTGATTTAATGATATCATGAATTCGAATTATTGATATCATAAAATAAGAAACTGTTTCCCCATCTCAGTTTTAGTCTATGGACAACAAAGATGTATATTTAAACGCGTGGTTTTGTTGCATTGTCTATCTTAAATGGTGTGCTGATCCGAGCTGTCCAGACGAGAATAACTGAATAATGTAGAACGAATATATCGATAGATCATATCCCGTTTTGGTCTGAACAGATCTACGTTCTCAATTTCATTGTCCAATGAGCATTGGCCACCATTCCATCCATCTTCGTCAAATTGGCGCGAATGGCAAAGCAAACAGAATTACCGTTCTTTAATTCCACAGGAGCAGTCCTAAGAAAAATATATTTTATGATATCACAAATTCGAATAAACGATATCATTAAATCGGGGGATTTAATAATATCATTAAATCAAATTAATGATATGATAAATTAGGATATATGATATCATAAAATCGATTTTATGATATCATGAAATAATCAGTGATATCACAAAATAATTTATTATATCATAAATTAGATTTTATGATATCACAAAATAGTTAATGATATCATAAAATCGATTTAGTGATATCACATTTTTTTGAATAAATACCAAAACGGCGCCCCATACTATGCCACGTACAGCAGCCGAATGTGAGAGGAACATCAGCGGTTAAAAGTCTTCTATCAACGATGAAAACAGTTCGTCTCTTTCTTTGTCTATCACAAACTATTTCATATGTATGTATGCAGGATTAGAAGCAGTCCTTGGTTAGTTGGGTAAATGCACAAAAAAACGAGGCTGAAAGATGCCACACAGAGGTCATGCATTCGGTTTGTCTTGCCCAGAAAGATAAGTAGCTATATGATATGATGAAAACTTTCAAAGCCGCAGGGAAATTGATAAGGTTGAAAAGAATTTTTTTTGTTCATCACAACGGGCTCACACGAGGAGGCATGACCGGAAAACATACACGAAACCATGCTAAATTCAATTCAGGGCACTTTCTGTGGGCGCGTGGTAGATACCTTGAACGAACTTTTAGGTAATGTTGCAGAAGTGCATTACCTTAACTTCACATTATATACCCGGTTGTGTATGTACATCCATCCTGCGACTGAAAGATAAAAGAAATGTCTAATCGAATCAAATAACCTCCACTAGTCAGAAGAATGGAGCTGAGATGTCAGCAATTAAATTTGGGTATTCACCAAAGCCACTATATCACCGCACCCTACTGTAAAACCGTAGGTAGAGGGTTCCGAATGTGTCGAAATGATCAGATGGCAACAGCTGGAGGACAAAACATCAATGTTTTATTTGTGTGCAATTCTACTGAGGAATCAGAGAACGCCGCTCACCCTACCGCAACCGCTAAGGGAGAAGACAGCAGAGAATTAAGGCAAGGAACAAGATTATGGATGTCGGAGAAAAAGATTCAAACTGTTCTCTTCCGTTATTTATAGAAATCATTAGAAATGTCCTCCACTTATCTCAGGGAACAGCGTAGAACTCGGAAGATTGCATCCAGTGGATGGGACATTTACAAGGGATGGGAGGTACATTTTAGCAAAATAGCAATACCAGATTAAACATGTTTTCTTCGTTGGTATGTGACGGTTCCACTACAGTATGAAATGTACCAAATCTGAGACACGTTGAGTCCTCGGTGGAGGAGTTGGAAATCGGTCAGTTCAGCAATCAAGGGACTTAAAACACAGAAAAAAGCTCGAGATCAGCTGGTCTGCAGGCGGAATACAAGATTCATAGTGCGGAGATATCAGCTCATCTCATATGCCTGTTACTCAACGCAGTAGCTATGCAGTGACTTATTACCCTGTTTCGGAAACACGGGTTTCTATCAAACGAAAAGGGGGACAAGAAAATATCTTCAAGCTGTCGAGAAATCACTGACGCACTCACAAATAGACGACAGCGAAGTTTCATCGCCGATGCCTCACCGCGCTTCATTTTACAGTCCTCATGCAGGAGGTTTTACAGAATGAAAGATCCAAAATGCAATCTCATTACATCAATTTTCCTGACGCTAAGGTTGCACGTGATCTGACAGCACACAGTAGACTTAGCAGGAAGTTATTTAAAGCTGGTAGTGGTGCAACACAAAACATCGAGTGGAGCAGTATCACATCAGAATCTTTTCTAGCATACCAAGGAATAAGGAAGGGGTTCCTGAAGACCAAAATCTACAAAATAAATGACCTACACGAGAGACTCAATTACTCGAGGTTAGGTGCTGGAATTGGAACCGTAAGATTTTGTGCTACAGCATGTGCAGGTGATATGTCCCTGGCCGTGGGTACTTAGGAGGAACTAACAAAACTTACTGGTATGACCGTGGAATACAGCACAAAAGTGGGCAGTTAAACCAAACAACATTTATATACAAATGTACCTATATTGACTAACAAGGATATCCAGTCAACACTTAGATAGAACATCAATAGTACTGAGATATGACAGTCGCTAAGCTTAGGCCAATAAGCAAACCCCTACCGCAATTGCCGAGAACATCCAGAAAAGCAGACAAGCTGCAAATGCTCTCAATGATCTGAGACTACACGGCAACGAAGGGTTGGATACCTACATCTTGTGCCACCTCACTAGTCTATACTAGTACGTACTTCCATTAACGGTTTACGGCATGGAAGTTCTTCAACCAACATCATATCTATTCCAATTGTTTGAAACATTTCAAAGAAAGTTATTGAAACTAGCCTTCTCACTACCAACAGATATAGCCATTGCATGAATTTATATACACGCTCAGGTTTTCTACTGGCGACCCTAGTTTTCACTATTCAAGCATAACGTGGCAACAAGGTTCGCTAGAACACGACCTACCTAGAGGCCAGTAGATGCGACTAAATAAAATCAATACAGCCGTTTCAAAAACGTCAGAAGCTATAGGCTCCTTAATTCCCATCTCATCCTCGATACTCCAGGGGTAACGCTCACTTTCGCACTCTGCACCCCTGGAATACAGTGTATGTCATAGCAATATCGAAGGCTCGCTGTGCACCTCCTTAGATGTACATCAAAAGAATCTGTAGGTCGCGTAACGGTAAATTGACTGGCTTTGAATTCGGGTGTCTTTCCTTGATCTTTCATCTTATTACAGGTATCAGCCTTGCAATTGTACAGGTTGGTTTTTATCTGAGACCAATAAAATAGCGAATCACGTTCTTTCAATTTTGCTATGACATATTTCAGTGGTGCAGAGAGCGATAGAGTGAGCGTAACCACCCCTGGAGTATCGAGGAGGTTGTCATGTATGATCTCTCTTCTTCTCATAAAGTACTGAAGGATCAAAGTTCCAAAGGCAAGTGGACGTGTATTGGTGAGAGTTGTGGTAAACAACTTATGGCAATCCTCATTTAGAATGAAGGTGTGGATTCCATCCATATTGAGCGATACAATCCAGGCATACATCATCTCGATTACCCAAACAGCCAACGACGTGTAACGGCTTCTTATGAAACTGCAACTTCTGATCACATACTAACCCCCAACACAACAGGAGCCCGTGCAAGCAAAACAAGATAGATCCCACATGCCAGCTGTTTGAACTGGCCCCTGTGATGCCGAAGCACTTTTTAATTGGAATGCAGTGTTTTAGGGTAAAAAGGGACTAACATTCTACTATCAATAGAAGACACAGTCGACGTTATTCGAGGGACAGAATTATAATATTATGAAAACTACAGCTATTTCTGGACCCATTTATGCTGACCACGGGTTTTAGGGAGTTACTCGACGCTCCGTTGCAAACAGAGGGTAAATCTCGGGGTAACTTACCTTTCAAGACTATCAATTAAGTGTGTTAATGTTTTAATAACTAGAAAATGGGTTTTTTTTCATGATACTTTCATTAACCCATTCATGGTCTTCAGCTTAATCCACTGTATTTGTCCGGGAATACGCTCATGGGTCGACACATTATCTATGTGTTTGTGGGATAGCAACGATTAGCCTATCTGCTGGGCTGCGTTAGATTTGTTCATTTTTCGCCTTCATATCCTTCATAAAATTCTATCGTGTTTTACTCTCTGTAGCCTACTTAATTTGTTGTCTGAATGCGTTTTCCGTGTTCTAGAAGTAATAAATGACCTCGAGATCTATATTTTAAACAATGCTGTACAAAATAATCTAGCAAATATATTATAGCCGTGTCGATTAATAATCATGTAATACACTGTACCTTTATTTTAGTTGTGAACATGTTCTGTACTCTTCCCGAATGGAGTGTACTCACAGTAGAGTGCTAATCAAGACTCCGGCAATGGGTGGCTAAAATTAATATACATTTAAAAACTTAAAAATAGTTTAAAACATTTAAAAGTGATGTAGAAGTCCAAACACGTCCTGCAAGGGGAGGGATTTAATTATATGTTCGTATTGTTGCTGGGATGAAGGATAACTTGCAGGCATCGACCCTGGTGCTGATTTGCAAGATGTTATTGGCATGGAATTTACGTTTACGTTTAGGCCTGTGCCTTGACTTCCTGTGGGCAACTCATTAGGTTCCTCCTGATGAATCCAACAGAGATTTGGTTGGTGTTTGGCTTACATGCTCTCGCCACGAGAGGTCATGATTACTGTGTATGCCAAGACATTTGCTGCCTGGGACAATTTCTAAGTCATAGCCATGTAGATGGTGGGTGGCATTGACTGGCTTCCGCTTTTGTGTGATTCTGATGGTGACACACTTCTGAGGATGGAATAACACTTGCCAGTTGTTTTCCCATTTCTCGAGTGCTACCAGATCTTGTTGTAGTACTGCTGAATCATTACTGCTTTAAATTGTGCGGTATATTAGGCAATCGTTGGCAAAGAGTTTCACTTGTGAAGACACGGTGCTTGGGAGGTCATTAATTAAGGCCAAGAATAGGAGGGGCCCATGACAGTGCTTTTGGGCACCCCAGATGGTACGTGTGACTCTGCTGACTTATAACCTTCTACCAAGACATGCTGTTTCCGGTTGTTTAGGAAGCTTTGGATCCGATCCAATGGATCCCGTAGTTGTGAAGCTTTGCGAGAAACTTTCGCTGGGGGACTTTGTCAAATGCTTTTGCAAAGTCAAATAGGATGCCATCTATTTGTTTGCCTTCAGAGAGTTCTCTTGCCAGGTCTTGTACTATGGTTATCAATGGCGTCTCGCATGACCGCCTTCTCTGGAATCCATGTTGAGCATTTGTCAGGATTGGATTGCGGTCAAAGTGGTACATGTTGTTGGATTGGAGGATGTGTTCCATCACTTTGGAGCATATAGAGGCTACCGACAAAGGCCGATATTTAGCAGCTGCACTCTTATCACCTATTTTTTGGAAAATAGGGACAACATTGGCCATGTTCCAGTCCCTAGGAACTTGACCTTGGGACAGGCTGGTCTGATAGATGAGCGCGAGTGCTTTGGCAATCTCCTTGGAGAGCTCCTTAAGGAGTCTAGCTGTGATTAAGTCTGTTCCGATAGCCTTGTGGAGTTGCAGGTTCTTCAGTAATTTCTCGACTCCTGGAGTGGTTATATTAATCGGGTCCATAGTGTATGGGCTGGGACCCTCGTCTAGAATGTTGGTGTGTCCTCTTTCGTAAAGACTGTCACAAACTGTTGGTTGTGGATATCAGCCTTGGCACCAGCATATCGCTGAGGATAACTCCATCAGCATTGCGAAGGGTTGAACACATAAGTGTTATGTGTCCTTCGGATGGTCTTCTGGCCTGTTGACTTTAGATGTTTGTATCGTCTCATATCTCTGGCCTTACCCGTCACGATGGCTTTTTCAAAGGCTCTGTTTTTCTGTCTAGTTATGCGTTTATTGTGGGTATATACGTATCAGTCCAGGGGTTGGTAAGTCTTGAGCGTGTGTGTTTATGTGGGATATGGGTTTTTCCAACAATACTCTGTGTTTACACTCTATGTAACTAAATCAATCTATAGTACAGCTCTACCATCTTCAGCAACTTAATTTAAACATTGTCCCTTCACGTTCAAACAATAAAATGTGTTCTATATAGCGCCAATCACCTGTACTTTACTGTGTAAACTATCTATTTATTTCATTGCTATTACCGGAATGGGAGATTACTTGACTTATAAGTTATACAGTAATAAATAACGTTATGGTCCTAGCGTTAAACATATCCTTTTCTCAGGTGGGACGTTATATCACATTAAAATATGGCATTATATATTTTTAATTAGAATTTAATTTGAAAGTTGTTTTTTATTTTTATTTTCCGCATGCATATAGACCTGTCATTGTACCTCCAGGAATAATTGTGAAAAAAATAATTCATTCGCAGCCTTAAAATATTTGAAGCGTCTCGTAGATTGACATAAAACGTTTATGTGACTGAGAGTTGTGGTCTTGCGCAAGTCTATGCGGAAGTTTACGTGAATCAACTGTGGATCAAAACACTTCAAGCTAAATTTGAGATTCAGGCGTGACACCCGTTAGTCATGGGGCTATTCGGCAAAACTCCAGAGAAGTCACCAAAGGAATTGGTAATTATGATGTTGTATTATCGTCTGTAGCGTTCTACACCAAAGGCAAGGAAAAAACAATGCGTCGTGTATAATGTTGTCATAAGAGGGGTAATTATTTTCAGCTTTCTCATCGAATTTCGAAATTTCCAAAAATGTAAAGATAGTGTTAACATCTTTCTAATATTATATCTTATTATTAACGAATGAATATAAGTAATCGTGAGTGACGTTCCACACAATTTAGTCAACACTAAACGATACTAATATTAAATATGGACACAGATCTAGACAGGCTGAGGCGCTGGACACACTATAATACAGTACTACTAACATGAATATGATGTATATATACTATTACTATTATATAGTATATACACATCATATTACTATTAGTGTGTCCAGCACGGTAACGGGTAATGATGAGGTATGGAGCTTTGGAGCATCCTCTCACTTCAGAAGTCATTGCAACACAATTGTGTACACTTTCTTATGTAGTAGGAGAAAATGCACAGCCAGACCAGGATTTGAACCCTAGACCCACCAAACTCTAGATGGACGCTCTACCAATTGAGCAGCCCAGAATCAGAGCTACCTAGTCGCTTGGGATCGAGCCAGTCAAGTTCCGCTACATTAATATTCCCCCATCATTTTCCAAGTCTTCACCCCAAAAACAACACTATTGACAACCCAGGTTCAGGTATCCCCTTAATGTCAAGCATTCACTTCTAGTACTTGAAACAAGGGTTGATCATAAGAATCAAATGTAATAGGAGCAGAAAAGTGCAGGCTAGACCAGGGTTCGGGACCCAGGACCCTCTAAAGTCTAGAAGGACGTTCTAACCAATTGAGCTACCTAAAGCCTGGTAGCTGGCGATTGACCCAGTCAAATTCCACTACATTCCACCCTCCTTCAACAAGGTTTTTGACCCTGAAGACACACTAGACCCTAAACCACGCTCGCTGGGTTTATTTGTTGTTTGTTGGGTCAAAATTCATAATACAAGAAAGAAATTCACAGCCGGACCAGGATTTGAACCCCGACCCCAGACTTCCTAGTCGGACGCTCTACCACTGAGCTAAAGCCTAAAGGGAAATTTGATCCATCTAGCCCTAAGCGAGAAGGTGACTGTTATCCTATTTACAATTAAAATCTGCCACACAACTCCTTCCTTTTTAAATGTGTTTGCCCTCAAACACCACAACAACCCAGGCTTTAACTAGCTCCCTGTCACCACAGGGAAGGCCACAGACACCATTTGTAATTTGAAAGAGTTTAAGGTGCTTCCAACAGGATCGAAACCTATGATCACAGACTTTTTAGTCGGATGCTCTACCACTGAGCTAACGAGAAATTCCCTCTAGCCCAAAGCTAGAAGGCGACTGTATTCCTATGTATAATTAAAATGGCACTTTTGCATTCACTGACTGAGGTATATAGGGTCATAGACTTCATTTGAAAACAAATGAAATAAGTTGCCTTGTTTGTTAACGATTTGATAAACCATTTATATTACCACACTATGTAAAATGCAGTGTTGAGTCACATTAAAAAGATGCACTGGATGGTGAGTGATTCTATTTTTACTCACCCGTATTTTCTGACCAATGGTCAAGGATTCATTGTAAGCAAGAGAAACATGAGGTATAGAATTGTTTCCAAATGCAACTTTTGACTTGCTACATATATGGATTAGTGAATACTAAAGTGCCATTTTATGTGGTTTTCTTTAAGGTCATAGGAGTGTATTGCTAAACGGAAGTAGGAAGTACATCCCTAGTTGAAAACCCAATCTAGGGAGAAAGTATCACAATTTCTGCATATTCTAATTTTAATATTAAACTGATGAATATTGTATGTTTATTATTGACAGAACAGTGTGTTCTTTCAATATTAAAGTATTTCAAAGCAATCCAGGCATTAATTCAGTTGTTTTTTAATTAATGAGTCACATGCGTCCGTTGTTCTGTACTTCAGGAAACCGGCTACCTATTTCACTACTGTGAAGTTTTTCAAGAACGATAACTCTTACCTAAAATTACTATGATTATAAAATGTCAATTTTTAATCGTTTATAGATAATTAAATTTTACACAATTTCAGCATTTTTGAAATTGATATACATTAATGCGATACTAATCTATGTCAGTATCATTTTGATTGACATTATTTTGCAAAACATTGCGTGTTTCATTTTTTTTCAAAATTCACTCATTTTTACATAGATTTCCATTTAAAATCCTTACAATTCTGACAATCTATTTTTTTTTGTGGCAGAAAATTTTCTTTACTCCAAAGCAATATAACTACAAAATTGGAAGAAATTCTACTGAGAAATGGCGACACAATCCTATTACCTTAAATGAATGACTCGCCTGTATGAGATATGAGATTAGAGGACTTTTATCTATGACCAGTTAAGATGTGTTGGAGTAGTTTATCGTACACCCTAGCTAGGTGTAGGAACTTCTAAACTCATATTTTGTTCTAAATGACAGGTTCAGGAATGGAATAGTAAACTGAGAAAGGAAGGACACAACATTGACAGAAGTATAAAAAGTAAGTCAAAAATGTGAATTCTAATTTTCACTTATGAGAAATTTAGGTTCTGAAATTAAGTGTTAAGAAGTAATATTTCTGCAGTGTAAGAATTCATATTAACAGAGTTCAAATATTATGCTGAGTATTTTTATGCTACTCTTATGATTCATAATTCTAAAAGCATGTTGCTCTGTTCAATGTACTCAAATTAAGTTCCTTCTTACCAAGAAAATATTCCATCGACGCTGTCTCCTTCAGAAATGATTCAGTGCAGGAACTGTACCCTTGAATATTGTATTTTATATGAATTGTTTAAGTTTTACTAATTGTATAAGTTTTACTATATATGTCTTTTGTATCAAATTGTGAAGCACTCTAGAACAGGATAGAGCACTATATAATGGCTATTATTATTACTATTATTGCATTTGTTATTCTATTGAAATTAACTGGTTATATTTCTCATCTCTAGGTATACAGAGAGAAGAGGCTAAAGTTACTCGGGAGATCAAGGCATTGGCAAAGAAAGGGGATAAAGATGCCATCAAGATTCTAGCCAAAGAGGTTGTGAGGTCACGGAAGGCTGTGAACCGACTTTATTCGTCCAAAGCTCAGCTCAACTCTGTGTCCATGCAATTAAAGAATCAAGCAGGTAAACACTAAAATAAACACTTACCCTGTGTAATAACGTTAGGTTTTTATCGACCCATTTACCTTCGTTCCCAGCAGGAGGGGACTTATTGGATTGATTTGTTCCGAGCAAAAAGTAGTTAGGTGGGAGAATGGCTGAACTACTTTGTTCTGAGCTGAAGATGACTACATTTGTATATATAATCAGGGAATGACTAGATAACTTTTTTCTCAACTAAAGGTGGCTGGATTGGGCAATAGCTGCATAATTGTCTTTCCAGCATAATCATGATTTCATTCCTAGCCTAAGGCAACTGGAAGGAACAATGGCAGGCTTATAAAATACCTTGTTCCTGTATGGGGACATGACTGGGTATCCCTGTATGGGGACATGACTGGGTATCAATCTGTTCTCAGGTTCACATCTACAGGTGGCCATGGTTAAATTGATCTGTTCCCCATATTGGGTAGTTATTTATTTCTACCCTTAAAAGTAATTGTTTCAGTGAAAAATGATGTTTTTTAGGCCCAGCATCCACTTTAGATACATCTGACTGTTTACTTACTTACTTACTGCCTATTACGCCCGATGGCGTTTAGGTCAGCAATGAAGTTCCTCCACACCTGTTGATCCTTTGCTAATCGCTCAATAGTTCCCCAGCTATGATCGATGTCACTAAGCTCTAGCTGTTTCCACCGTGCGTTGCCATGTGGTTTTGGGGCGACCTCTCTTCCGTTTACATTCAGGAGTCCAGTGTACTGCAACCTTTGTGATGGAGTCACCCTCCATCCTTAGCACATGTCCAATCCACCTCCAGCGTCTCTTCTTGATGATGTCTCTCATACCCTCCATGTTACACTGTCACATCAGTTCATCATTGGAGATTACTCTTGGCCAGAAGATCTTCAATATTTTCCTCAGTCTGGTTGTGTGAAACGTTGAAAATTTCAACATCTGACTGTATAAAGTAAGGTCATTCCGATGATTTTATTTGTGATATCACAGAAAATGTGCAGATCATTCATCTGAGAATTGGACAGGTAAATCATGGATACACCTGTCCAGGGTAAGAGAATGTGTCTCCAACATTTTACTAGTGGAACAAAATATTTCAAAAGGTTTAACTCGTGCGATTTTAAGCTTGCATATTACAGGAAGTAATTAAAACAATTGATGACATTGAGATATTATGCTGAAGCTACTATATATAGTAATGGTGTTATTGACAGCTATGGTGAGGATGACCGGGGCACTGCAGAAGAGTGGGGAGGTGTTGAAGAGCATGCAGGAGTTAGTGAAGGTATCCGACATCAGTAATACCATGAGAGAAATGTCCAAGGAAATGATGAAGGTACGTAAGTCTTATCCATAGTGCTGTAGGTTAAATAATGGTAAGTTAGTCTTATCCATAGTGCTGTAGGTTAAATAATGGTAAGTTAGTCTTATCCATAGTGCTGTAGGCTAAACAATGTGAAGTTAGTCTTATCCATAGTGCTGTAGGCTAAATAATGATAAGTTAGTCTTATCCTTAGTGCTGTAGGCTAAATAATGGTAAGTTAGTCTTATCCATAGTACTGTAGGCTAAACAATGTGAAGTTAGTCTTATACATAGTGCTGTAGGCTAAATAATGATAAGTTGGTTTATCCATAGTGCTTTATAGGCTAAATTATGTGAAGTTAGTCTTATCCATAGTGCTGTAGGCTAAATAATGATAAGTTGGATTATCCATAGTGCTGTAGGCTAAATAATGTGAAGTTAGTCTTATCCACAATGCTGTAGGCTAAATAATGATAAGTTAGTTTATCCATAGTGCTGTAGCCTAAATAATGGTAAGTTAGTTTATCCATAGTGCTGTTGGCTAAATAATGTTAAGTTAGTCTTATCCACAATGCTGTAGGCTAATTAATGATAGGTTAGTCTTATTCATAGTGCTGTGGGCTAAATAATGGTAAGTTAGTCTTATCCTTAGTGCTGTAGGCTAAATAATGGTAAGTTAGTCTTATCCACAATGCTGTAGGCTAAATAATGATAAGTTAGTCTTATCCTTAGTGCTGTAGGCTAAATAATGATAAGTTAGTCTATCCACAATGCTGTAGGCTAAATAATGATAAGTTAGTTTATCCATAGTGCTGTAGGCTAAATAATGATAAGTTAGTCTTATCTACAATGCTGTAGGCTAAATAATGATAAGTTAGTCTTATCCATAGTGCTGTACGCTAAATAATGATAAGTTAGTCTTAGCCATAGTGCTGTAGGCTAAATAATGAGAAATTGGTTTATCCATAGAACTGTAGTCTAAATGATGATATGTTGGTTTATCCATAGAACTGTAGTCTAAATGATGATATGTTGGTTTATCCATAGTGCTGTGGGCTAAATAATGATAGGTTAGTTTATCCATAGTGCTGTAGGCTAAATAATGAGAAGTTGGATTATCCATAGAACTGTAGTCTAAATAATGATATGTTAGTCTATCCACAATGCTGTAGGCTGAATAATGATAAGTTAGTATATCCACAATGCTGTAGGCTGAATAATGATAAGTTAGTCTTATCCTTAGTGCTGTAGGCTAAATATTGATAAGTTAGTCTATCCACAATGCTGTAGTCTAAATAATGATAAGTTAGTATATCCACAATGCTGTAGTCTAAATAATGATAAGTTAGTATATCCACAATGCTGTAGGCTGAATAATGATAAGTTAGTATATCCACAATGCTGTAGGCTGAATAATGATAAGTTAGTCTTAGCCATAGTGCTGTAGGCTAAATAATGGTAAGTTAGTCTTATCCATAGTGATGTAGGCTAAATAATGAGAAGTTGGTTTATCCATAGAACTGTAGACTAAATAATGATATGTTGCTTTATCCATAGTGCTGTTGGCTAAATAATGTTAAGTTAGTCTTATCCATAGTGATGTAGGCTAAATAATGAGAAGTTGGATTATCCATAGAACTGTAGTCTAAATAATGATAAGTTAGTATATCCACAATGCTGTAGGCTAAATAATGAGAAGTTGGATTATCCATAGAACTGTAGACTAAATAATGATATGTTGGGTTATCCATAGTGCTGTAGGCTAAATAATGATAAGTTGGTTTATCCATAGTGCATTAGGCTAAATAATGATAAGTTAGTCTTATGTACAATTAATTCTGTAGAATGATTCTAAGTTATTCATATCCACAATGCTGCAGAGTAAATAAAAACAAGTGTGCCTCGTCCATGATGTCGTGGAATGGTGACAAATGTTTGTCTTATCTATGTTTCTGTGGAATAAATGAAATTGAGTTTGTCTTATCCACAAAGCTGAGAAGGTAAGTCAGCCTTATACACGGTGGTTGTGTTGAATGAAATGAAGTCAGTCTTGTCCATGAAGCTGATGTTACATGTCATAGGATACTCTAGCCTCAGATGGTAACATACCATAGATTCACTTATATCAAAGTTTGTGGTAATTTTAGTTTATCTTTCTTATCTATATTCATTAGGCTGGTATCATGGAGGAAATGATGGAAGATGCTTTTGAGAGTATGGATGACCAAGATGAATTAGAAGAAGAGGCCGATACTGAAGTTGAGAAGGTCCTATTTGAATTGACCGCAGGTATTGTTTGGCGTTTAACATGTATGGTTAAGGCACACTTTTTGTACTGGACCTTGTTTATGAAGTGTACAGGTCTCTGCTGTACATCATATATTGTTTGAAGAGTTATCAGTCATTAGTTATGAACTAGGTAACTAGGTGTTTTGGTTAGATCAGAAGTAACCTTATAAAGGATGTTACTAATATCACTTTGACAGATCAAATCACTTTCACTGGTATATTGGATTGAATCCTTTTTACAGCTCCACTATCACTTGTGTTAATTAATGTCCCCTTTAATACAGAGAGACACATAAGTACCTGTTCTTCTGGTTCTTATAAAGTCATGTCCAAGTGATAACTTTTAAACTGTAAACTATCTCACCTCTAGGTCAAGGGTTGAGTATAAAATAAATATGCATATTGCCTGATAAAGGGAGACGTGTATTTTTAGCTCACCTGGCCCAAAGGGCCAAGTGAGCTTATGGCATGGTGCGGCGTCCGTCGTCCGTCCGTCCGTCATCAACATTTTACTTTAAACAACTTCTTCTCAGTAACCAAAAGGCCTAGGGTGATGATATTTGGTCAGAAGCATGCTGGGATGAAGGGCTACCAAGTTTGTTCAAATAAATGACCTTGACTTATATTCAAGGTCACAGGGGTCAAATATGTTTAAAACCTTTTAACAACTTCTTCTGAATAACCAAGAGGCATAGGGTGATGATATTTGGCCAGTAACATGCTGAGATGAAGGGCTACCAATTTTGTTCAAATAAATGACCTTGATTTATATTCAAGGTCACATGGGTTAAATATGTTTAAAACCTTTTAACAACTTCTTCTGAATAACCAAGAGGCATAGGGTGATGATATTTGGCCAGTAACATGCTGAGATGAAGGGCTACCAATTTTGTTCAAATAAATGACCTTGATTTATATTCAAGGTCACATGGGTTAAATATGTTTAAAACCTTTCAACAACTTCTTCTGAATAACCAAGAGGCATAGGGTGATGATATTTGGCCTGTAACATGCTGGGATAAAGGGCTACCAAGTTTGTTCAAATAAATGACCTTGGTTTATATTCAAGGTCACAGGGGTCAAATATGTTTAAAACCTTTTCAACAACTTCTTCTGAATAACCAATAGGCCTAGGGTGAGGATATTTGGCCAGTTACATGCTGGGATGAAGGGCTACCAAGTTTGTTCAAATACATGACCTTGACCTATATTCTAGGTCACAGGGGTCAAATATGTTTAAAACCTTTCAACAACTTCTTCTGAATAACCGATAGGGCTAGGGTGAGGATATTTGGCCAGTCGCATGCTGGGATGAAGGGCTACCAAGTTTGTTCAAATATATGACCTTGACTTATATTCTAGGTCACAGGGGTCAAATATGTTTAAAACCTTTCAACAACGTCTTCTGAATAACCAAGAGGCCTAAGGTGATGATATTTGGCCAGTAGCATGCTGGGATGAAGGGCTACCAAGTTTGTTCAAATAAATGACCTTCATCCATTTTCAAGGTCACAGGGGTCATATGTCTTAAAATCTTCAAACAACTTCTTCTCAATAACCAAAAGGCCCAGGGTACTGATATTTGGCCTGTGGCAATCAGGGCTACCAAATTTGTTCAAATGAATGACCTTGACCCACTTTCAACCTAATGTCATTGTTTGACATTCAAGGTCACACTGATATTCTGCCTGTAGCTGTATTTTAGTCCTCTTTTAAGATTACAAGTGTGAGATTAATACCAGGTGAGCGATGCAGGCCCATTGGGCCTCTTGTTGTTTATAAAAACAAATGTCTATATTATTTTGTTCCCATGATAAAGGTATGATTAAAGTGTATTTTGAACCTGTACAGGTACTCTGGGTAAAGCTCCAGAAGCTGTTAATGACTCGCTTCCCGTGCATGAGGATGAAAAGAAAATGGAGGCTGCAGCTAATTACTCCAGTGATGAGGAGGAAGATCTTAAGGGTCGACTGGAAGCTTTGAGAAGTTGATCAACTCCATACCTCTATTAACAACATCATCATTCATTGTCATGTGTGAGCTTGAAAGTGCTGGACACTAAATATGGTGCATCAGAAATTCCGCACAACTTATTTCCCAAAAGAACACCATTATTTAGTAACTTTCACTTAACATGGATGTTTTGAAAACAATTATTGAAATAGGTTCACTTTTCTAAGTGAATTTGATCTTTTAAATCTATACATGTACAACACGTCCAAGACCTGAACAAATTATGTAACAAGTGTTTATCACATTAGTGTCTTTTTCTAGTCTAACATATTTGGCATATAGATATTGAAGGTTACTGGTGATTCTATAAATAGACAAAAGATACATAAAAATGTACTGTTCATGTATTATGTAACTCAGAAGTTCTAATAAGTTTAGTTTTTTTCCAAATAACTTGTGAAGATAATTTACAAATTACAAAGTCTTCAAAATTTGTTAATTTATTGCATGAAAGAGTGTGAAAGAGATGTGTAAGTATAGTTTAATATGTACATTCTATATCATTTTGTGGCTGAAAAAGAGGCACCTGTTAGTTTTCTGTTCCTCCAATAATTAAGGTATAGAGGGTAAAAGGCTCAGTAGTAACCACTTTAAAAGTTTTAGATGATAAAAACTATACAAATTCTAAATAGAATAATAACTCAGGATGTAATACATGATTACAAAACCTAGATTGATGATACTGTAAAGTAGTTCATTGTAATTCTGTTTATATTCTATTGCTTTATTGTTCAGATTTGTAATACATAAAGTATTGGTATACTTTCAGTGTCATTCTGATTGTGTGATTTTATTCTAATACTATACAAAGTAAAATTTAATCTTATTGTAGACTGGGTCTGTTATTAAGGATTGATATTGTTGAGTATAAAGGATTTGGTTGATATAGTAACAGATAGGGCTATGGTTTGGACTGTTTTACGAGTAGGATGTTCTACCTGTACTAGTGTTAATACCAGGATGTAGACTATTTTGTGACGTCTATTGTCCAACATTGTATCTCTTTATCACCTATGTACACACAGCATTCAGCAAGTACATGTACAGATCTCTATGACATGACATGACTTTTACACTAGAAAAGTAATCAAATATTTTTCAGGAAATAGTGGGTTTTTTTGTGTTAGTTCACAGGGAGTTTTTTTGTGTTAGTTCACAGGGATCATCATGATTTAAAATGGATTGTGAATGGAATGTTCGAATACAAATTTACAAGGAAGATGTAGTAGCTGTTGGTTCTATTCAAATCCCCTCAAATTCATTGATAGGAGTATAATCCTGTATTTACCGGTATGTGTTGATGAAAAGAAAGTAATGATTCTTAATACTCTGGTATTAAACACAAATAACCCTGCAAAACAAATAGATATTAAGGTAAAATAGAGTCAGGACAATTTTATGATACAGTATGTTAGACAGATGTATCCCTGTGATGTACATACCGAAGTACAGCAGATCTAAATGGGATTTTGAATGTTCACATTCATAGAAGAGTAATTTGTTTTTATATACATAACATTTAATTCTCTAGTTAAGTTCTAAACTCCAGAAAAGAAATTTTAAATTCTGTCCAATAAATGCTGCACATGTCTTCGCAATTATTTTATGTTTATTTAAAAATTGTGAATGAACATGCAGTCAGTTTGCATTGCACATGAGGAATATCCAATGAGAGATGAATGGGTTTATTACTCAAGTATAACCTACATGCTCCAAAAAAAAAAAAAATTGCTGAACAGACATCCAAAGACGCAAATAAAACGGGTACAACAAATATGCAACCAAACCATTTATGGTAGGGTAGATTTTGTAATTGTATAGTATTGAATTCATTTTCACATACATGTAGGTCCATTTTATTTCTCTCTCAGTGCTTTAAGTATTGACAATGATATCTAAAGTAGATTCCCTAATTCTAGCAAGGATTAATTTCAATTGATTTTGTTAAATTTAATTTTGTTAAATTGAACATAAATGTTACAGAATATTTAACAGAAAACTGTAGATTTCATTGTAAATGATTACTAACTGTATCATAATATCATGTACATATAAAATACATTAACATGTACATAATGGTGTAAATAAATTTGTATGTAGACTTACATCTCTGTTTTCTTTCTGTGATATGGCTTGTCTGGAGGTATGACCTCAACAAAGAAAGGGCTGCAAGAAAAATGTGCTTGATGACTGATTTTTAGGTCAAAATGAGTCAAAAATGGTTACACATCTTAATTGAGATAACCTCATGACATATTCACTGTCAGTAAGTTTCTAAAAAGTTCATATTAGCCGAAATACTTTTAGCTTAATGGTGATGTTACACTGTCTAGCTGAGAGCATATATTACACCAAAGATTTTCAAAAACGGTCTGTATATCATAATGTGTAGGTTATTAGTCCCACACCACCACTACCAGAGGAGACTAGGTTCTCGCTATGTCTGTGAGTTTGTGTATTGTAACATGTAGACATCCAGGTTATTAGTCCCACACCACCACTACCATAGGAGACTAGGTTCTCGCTATGTCTGTGAGTATGTGTATTGTAACATGTAGACATCCAGGTTATTAGTCCCACACCACCGCTACCACAGGAGACTAGGTTCTCGCTATGTCTGCGAGTTTGTGTATCGTAACATGTAGACATTCAGGTTATTAGACCCACACCACCACTACCAGAGGAGACCAGGTTCTCGCTATGTCCGCGAGTTTGTGTATCGTAACATGTAGACATCCAGGGTATTAGTCCCACACCACCACTACCACAGGAGACTAGGTTCTCGCTATGTCTGCGAGTTTGTGTATCGTAACATGTAGACATTCAGGTTATTAGTCCCACACCACCACTACCAGAGGAGACCAGGTTCTCGCTATGTCCGTGAGTTTGTGTATCGTAACATGTAGACATCCAGGTTATTAGTCCCACACCACCACTATCAGAGAAGACCAGGTTCTCGCTATGTCCGTGAGTTTGTGTATCGTAACATGTAGACATCCAGGTTATTAGTCCCACACCACCACTACCAGAGGAGACTATACCCCACTGTATACAGAGACTTGGCCCTTTGTTCATACTCATTGCCTAAGTTTGTGAAGAGCATAAATAATAAGACTTGCGTGTATTAGGATGTTTATTTTTGTAATCTGAATAATGTAATAGCTACCTTCTGTGACTGAAGGGGGATTAAATGATTACCTGTACATCCTAGAAGCAAGAGAATATCTGATACTCATATTTGGATAATGGTTAGAACAATACGTGTAAAATGAAATACAATGTATTCACATTAGCTACAGATGCTTGGAATTACTTCACTTCCATTTTCTCTGATCTATAAAATAAGTCAAGGTGACAGATAAGGAGAGGGTGAAACTCATAATTCATGTATACAACTCATGGAAAAGTTCACAACAAATGTTTTAGTTTCCATGCTCTGGAATGAAACAGTGAATGTTTGTACATTGTATTTTACTGTGCAGAATGAAATTTCTGACAAAACATTAATTTTACTTTGTAACAGATGAATATTTCACTGGTCCAATTCTTACCTGTAATAATTATATCTAAACCATATTTTATTGAGACAAAACAACACATTCTTACATAGTTTTTATTAATTTTAATCTTATAATGATATAACAGGAAAATACATTTTGTCTAGAAACAATCATACCACACATTGCTAATGTGGTTCAGGTGTCGTCTATATGTACCCCATGTACAATTACCTGTACCTTACATACGAATACTAACAACCAATGCAACATACCATGTAACAAATACGGTTCAGTCTTTAATAACGGGTAACATAGAGTTACTGGGTACACGAATGAAACAATTTCCAATGATACCAACAAAGGTACATTATTATGATTTCAATACCAGCTCCATGCAGGTCCATGTCCACAACTACTTGATGTCAATGTGTCACTTTACAGTTGTCTACCACACAGGGATTACACAAACAACCAGCTGGATAGAATGGATAGTGATACATGGACAAGATAAAGAACTTTTAACAAAAGAGTGTGACAAAAGTTCCCCCTAAGGATATATGAAAGCTTATACAATTCTTTGTTAGAGTTGTCTCCCTTATGCATCTTGCATTGCCATCACCATAGCAATATAGTCAAAGCATCAGTGATAAATATTACTCCAGGTTAACATAAATATCATCAGTGTGCAATGATAAATGGTGGTACTAAAGAAAAGTTGTATGTATGTCATAGGATTCTATTATACAGTTACTAAACAATATCCAACAAAATGTTTGCAGTTTCATAACTTGCATCAGATTTTTTGAATATTTGCATTAGTAATAGAACAAATTTAAAGTGATCTCAATTATAACCTCTCCACCCCACCCCTTGTCATGTCCTTGACCTTTCATGTAAAGTTTGAGTATGCCACAACACTGTCAATTTGTCCAACCATTTTGTCCTTGTCATTACCTAGACCTCTATAATTTGATATGGACCTGAATCTGTTGGAAAACACACAAGCTAAACATAACAGTAAATGTGAATCAGAAGTTGTGGTCCATAAAATCATTACAATGATTTGACATTTGACCCCTTGTCATGACCTCGACCTTTAAGATGATAAGAAATTAAGAATACAATGTATTATGCATGAATTTCCCTTCTGTTCATGGTGTACTTATTAGCAATTTCCAAGCAATGATTCAGACAAGCTGATATCACATTCAACATGATATCACATTCGAAATAATAAAAAATAAAAATAAATAAATCAAGGTATAACAGGTGTACAGCTGAGCACCCAATCCTTCACATGATTCCTCACATCCACACCATATAAACAGGTGTAATCCCAAATTAATAGTATCACTATTACAATATTACATACTGAAACACATTTTTATCTTATTCCCTTTTTTAACCCTGTGTTAAATCTATGACATGTGCTCAGTGCTTTTTCGTAACCTGTATACAGGGCCTGTTACTAGTTAATATCTTTCCCCTGGTGAATTTAAGCTGCATTTTCACAATATCTTTTTGTTTGTATTTTCCCATTGGAAGATAATGGCTTGTTGAAAACGTATTCACATGTAATATACGAGGTAATACTATTTAGCACTTGTATGTGAATTGTTTTGAACAAATTGTTACCCCAGGTATTATTTTATTCTTTGAAAATACTCAGTACATCTTTGTACATGAAGCATGTAAGTATTCTCCTTGTTTGGAGAAAATGATCCAATTTACCACTCAAAATAACAAGGAAAAAAATAACAAGAGCCCATGGGCCTTAACGGTCACCTGATTCCTTAAGTATTATTTTTGTTGCTGAAATGTGAAGTGGAGATAATGATGTTAATCATCCCTACCAAAATTTGAGTTAACAAAAAAAAAAAAGTTAATTAAGTTAAGTTTGTCAGGACCATGAGTTGACCATTCCTAGACCCAGTTTCAGTTAAATCGGCCTATTTTAAGTTTTAAATAGTTTTATTCCAAAATGGCAGTCGTGGCGGCCGTATTGGATTTTTGATCGACCTGAAGAAAATAAACTTTGTCAGGACCATGAGTCGACCATTCCTACCAAGTTTCAGTTAAATTGGCCCAGTAGTACTTGACTGTAAGTTTGAAATTGTTTTTAAAAATGGGGGCCGTGACGTCCATATTGGATTTCTGATTGACCCGAAAAATAACAACACTTGGTCAGGGAGTTGTCAGTAACATTCCCAAGAAGTATCAACGAAATCCCTTAGACAGTATTTCAGCTTAAGTTGAAAATGTAAAATATTAATGCACGACGGACGAAGAGGGATAGCAGTAGGTCACTTGAGCTAAAGCTCAGGTGACACAAAAACATCACTGTTTATGTTTCATTTCTGTGTAATTCTACACACACAATCATATTAGTCTTTGGATAACAAAAATATCTGCCCACAGAAATATTCTGTAATAATACAGTATGTACAAATATGTATCACAAATTCAAGTGGAAGAACCGTTAAGTATGAACTGTACTGTAAGTGTAAAATTCAACTTGATTACTTTTCTGTTTAAAACTTAACATGATTACAAAGCAAACTGAAAAAAAAAATCTCAACCTAGATTTTGTACTACACATATTCTAGTATGATTACAACGAGATGGCATGATTTTTGTGACAGAAACAAATTTAACTGACTTCTAGTTTATTTCATGATTTGTTTTTTCCTTATTTCCTCTCACTTTTGACAGTATAATAGTTAACGTTAGTGAAGGCAAATTCGTCACATTAGTAAGGGTTTCAGTTAATAATTCGAACAAATATGCATGTATCGAAATGGCAACATGCACCAGTACAGAAGATTTGACTGAAATTCCTGTAAATAAACATTGTTGTAAAAACGCCTGAATGACGTCACGCAGCAACATTTGTGATGTCATCAGGCATTCCGCTGTTTTGCTCAAATATGCAGAAAGTTTTCGCCACCTTCAAACATTTCACTAATTTGCAAGTAATGTAAGTGTTCAAATGTAAAATGTTGTATGTTTATGTTACACAAGCTGTACTGATACGAACAGCTCCAAATGTGTGTGTGTAACAATGATTAACATTGAAATAAATGGCTTTTCTTAGTCGTGATAGTTAATTTTTGATAACTTGAAGAAACTGGTTAATGCTGTTTGAGTAAGATGGCTGGGATCTGCTGATATGAGGTCAATTTACATGCATTGCAATCAAGACTCAATCCTGAACAAATCTAAACTTCCCAATCGGTGCCCAATTATTTTTTTCAGTTGAGTCCGGATGAGAGGCTCCAGGGCTTTCACAGTCGCCCCCGACTTTTGGATGTCACATGTAGAATCTATATCTTCAATCAACTTGCACATCAACGGAAAACATCTGACAGATAAAAACGATTTTTTTGGACTTGAAAACTTATTCAACAGATTGCCCCCCATGTGTTGTAAATATGTACTTTCTTTTCTATGTAAAATTCAGCCTTTGGTAACTGTCTGTCGTTATCATCAGCGATTGTACAACAGTACGTACTTGTACTTTCAGGCCGACAACAAATTCTTTTCAAATATAAATCTAGCAAATTTCTAGATGGTATTTTAATTAAAGTGTTGTAAGATGGCTGAATACATTAGACGCAATTTTTTTCTCTCTCAAATATACTGGTTGATTGTTTTCTAAATACATATTGCATGAAAATGGAAAATGAATGATCAAATCTTTCCGCGCATCATTTTCATAAACAAGCATTGGGTCGTCAGTAATTATGTACATGATATGTACCAAAGTACACTGACTTGTAGAAAAACAATTTACTTACATTGAGATATGGGTATTTTAAATTTGTATGTTATGCATTTACACTAAATCACAACCAACAGGCCTCAGATTAATGAGTTTAGTTGACGAGATGTCCGTCGCAGAAACCAATTTTTTAAGATTTGGTGCGCTACAAGACATTTCATAACTGTTTTGATTAATTAAATAACTTTTCCCTTCTTATACCTCTTGTCAAAATGTTTGAAGGCTTTAACTGTGTTATAAGTTAAAGACTATGGTGACGTTATTTACGTCACATCTTATGTATTATGACATCATGTCATTTTCGTCACAGGGTGGCGAAATTAAGTGCATGGCGAATTTGCCTGCACTAACGTTAACTTATAATTTTAACACTGATTTTTGGGTCTCAGATATTTGAGTCCTCGACTCATGCTGTCCCTCTGGGACTAGCCACCTTTTTGAGAACCTACTTAATATCTTAGTAATGGGAATGATTCTTCAAAATTGTGAGAGAAAAAAATCTACAAAAAGCACTGCTTTAAATGACTAGAAGTTGACACATATTTTAATGCTTGGGTTTTCCTGACAAAGGAGAGACATTTGATGACAAAATGTGTCAAATGGTATGGTCCCTGTACATGATTCAGTTTAAATTTCTGGTGTCAATCATGAACATCGCAGAAAAAATACTTTTTTTGATGAGAAATGAACAATAAGTTGACACTAATCTTCTTGATGAATGGACAAGTCAAGTAAACTGTGTGACGATTAGTTTTGGAAATGTTAGATGCAAGATATGAATGACAAATAAGAATGGTGTAACAAGACAGATGAGTTCTCACTTTACCTTCAATACCTATATATTAGCCATTAAATATATCGTAACTGAACAAGATAGCATTGGTCAAACTTTATGCCTCGTTAGTACAAAATCTCAATGAGCAGCTGAGATTCTGTATCGTAACACATTCATGCCCAACATATAAATGTGGTCATAATCAACAAACAATGAAAACAAACACCTTGAAGCAACTTCACGACCTGAACTCTTCTAAAGTCAAATGCAGATACTCCTTCAGGGTTGTTGGGAGTGGCAGAGTATCAATTTTACTGAGGCGCCTCACCCCTACTGTGTTGCGGATCACACACCTGCAGTAGTGCTGGAGGGGGCGTGGATCCTTACACAGGTCACGGTACCAGGACAACTTGGCATACTGTTCATCTGACCGATTCAAATTCATGATTCCTTGATGACGGGGATCCCGAGCATCAGGAGGTAATATATGTGCTGACACTGCACCAAGAGATTCTAATGTTGGAAGGTAGGCCTCACTTTTTACAATGGCATGCAGAATTGTTCGGTCTGTGTTTTTGTTGCGGAGTTCGTATTGAAGCACGTTATCACCTTGTCGATTTAAGATTTTATATGACGCTCCATAGGCAATCAGTAGTGCAGCAGCCTCGGGTCGCCTTTCCTGCATGGAGGTCTCGTGGAAACACACATAGTGGAGTGGGCTGTAGCCTGGAACAGAGAAACACAAGCATCAGTTAAACTCTCAGACTAACACACTTACAGTCGAACCTCAAAATTCCTAATTTCAGTAATCAGGCAAACTCCCAGTCTCGACACTTTGGATCAGATTTCCATTACAGTAAATGTTCCTGTTCAACCACTAATTAATTCTCCAGATAAGAAAGAGTTATTTAAAACAGGTGGTTTTAACTAGAATTCCAGTCCCAGTTTTAATAACATCCCTTAATTTAGGTTTTCTAGGGAAAAGTTGTGTTAAGGAATATCCTTACCAGAAGGAACATGTGTGAAATTATGTCAAAGAGAAAGTAATTACTGCTAATCAATTATATTTGTACTCAAACTTCATAAAGTGTTGTTACCTCTTTAATAGTCCTTCTTCTCATGGGGTTTAACTCATTCACCCCTGAAGACACATTTTAACTCTTCCAATTCAAAGGTTGGAATAGTTAATTATGAAATGTTCAGGGGGGAATGAGTTAAAGGGACAATTTAGTGAAGTAAGGTTTTTTTGAAGTTTACGTAGTTGATAATGACATGACCAGAAGCTAACGCCCAGTGTGGTTAGTTTAACCTTTAGGAAAGCCGGTGATAAATATCCGGGCCTTTCAGTGAGAAGTAAACATGTGTCAGTTATGAGTCTGAGTTCACACATAACTCATTCCTGAATACATCGCAAGTAAGAATTATAAATATCATAATAGATACCTCTAATCAGATATTTCTGTTCACATTTGGAATGAATAAGAACGAGCAGATTCAATTAGAGCATGCACACACCGAGAGGATGCCACAGGGGGAATTTCAAACCGCAGAAAGCACGATACCAATAGGTTTAAATGTAAAATATATCACTCATTTATAACGATGTTTTAGATGCTGTTAGAAGATGATTTTGATTCAAAACAGATGCATATACAAAATGTACTTGTGTTCAGAAAGGCTAGGCGAAAAAAGCGAGAAGTTACCTTCTCAAACATTGTCTCTTGTCAATTTCTCGACAGGAATTGTTAATAAGGAGTATATCAAACTATAGAATCATGAAGAGTTTTGTGACAAGGTTATAAAAAATACTTACTTCACTAAATTGTCCCTTTAAGACCTTTCACCTAATGAATCACAAGACTAGACATATAGATTCTGAGATACAGACATCTGTACTGGGCCTGGTGATCTCTACTCAATAAATCTATTATCTAAAGTCAGCATTGAGATACTGTTATTTTGTATCCATGTATTTTCTACCCACTTCTATAGGGAATACATACCGAGAGATTCTGGAATATTGACATCAGTGTTGTACCCATTCATAACTAGCTGTCTCAGCATGTCCATAGAGAAGGTTTTGTTGGCTTGGACAACTAAGTGAAGAGGACTGAAACCCGCCATATTCTTATGGTTCACGTCAGAGCCTCGTTTCAACAATGACTCCACACAGGACAGCATGCCATTCTTCACACACTCGTGTAGAGGAGTGTCGCCTACGACAAAGACATCAAATTATTTATGAAGGTCATGTTGGTTGACCACATAAGGAGTAGAACTGTCATTGTTTATTAATGTATCATGTTACTTCATTCCCATATATCCATGTATAGATATACACCAAAGGATGCCATGCATCCCATATCATGAAAAGTGACACAATTTACTTTAATCAATACCTGTCTGTTTTGACGGAAGGGACAAAATGTCTTTCCATATGGCATTATTGAGGTGAGCATGAACACAATCCTCAAATGTCTTCTGGGCTGCTATGTACAGACTTGTGCGGCCAAACTCGTCCACTGCATTGTAGTCTGCTCCGTCCCAGATCAGCTTCGTGACACAGTCAATGTGATTATTGGCAGCTGCCAGATGTAATGGAGTTGTCCCCCCTGCATGAGGAAAAGCTGGAACAGAAAAGGAATGACTAGTTACAATTTTATATGGGGATAATTTGAATAATGATCACAAGTTGTACCCCCTGCATGAGGAAAAGCTGGAATAGAAAAGTTTCATCAGGAGAAATCATTGGTGGATAATGAATAATGATAACAAAACATGGCCCAATGCAAAAATACTGTGATAGTACAGTATGTAAAAATGCTTTCTCCAAACAATTTAGTATATGAACTCAAACCAGTAATTTCGGTCTTAAAATAGAAACAAAAATCAGAATTGGTGAACATATGTTTGATGACTGAATATTTTTTGGTACATATCTGATAAAACATTTTTATGCTGAACAACATAATGATCCTCGAGTTCCTTCAAGTTTGAACTCTGACTTAAGCCAAGATGTCTTTTTGTTTTGTGTTTTAGGAGAATAGTACCTCAGCTATTGATTTTTAATGGGATAGAGCACTGTAAATGCCAACCACAATGAGAACTTAAGACTGACTGCAAAACCTAGATGAATGCTGTATTAACTGTGCTTTCTGGTTTCTATATTACTCCTTCTTATATGATATTTTTGATTACACACACAAGAAGCTGCAATTCTTTTGGAGGGCATTTCATTTAAGAACAGTGACAAATACATAAAGCTTTGAAAAATACAACCTGACAAACTGGGATTCAACCTGGTACCTTCAAATAAGGCAGACACTTGGCCAATAGCAGTGAGCATTAGCGATCAAGTAGCCTGGTGCATATTAATTATTATTAATTAAATTTACTTCTAAATCTATTTCAAAGATAGCTGTTATTTGTTAGTTTTCCTGCAGCATACACACCTGTGTAAGATCCCTGCTTAGAGTACTTGGTTCCAACATTGCATAAGGCCTCAGCATCGAGAAGTTTTTGGAGACATTCCCTGTGGCCCATTTCTGCTGCCATGTGTAATGCTGTCACATCAAAACGGTCTTTGGCATTGATGTCAGCTGTAATGTAAAAATACAAAATTACTCAGAAGTGTATAACTGCTGATCAGGGCTTTATAACTCTGCATATCCAGTTGGGTCTAAATATGTTGAGCTTATAAGTTTTCAACAGATGTATACAGGCTAGTAATAGTTCACCCGTACTCAAAGTAAAATACCTGATTATCATCATCACATACAGGTTAATAAATGTACGATGTAACCTTTACTATGAATAAGACATTCTGTACTGTATTTTAAAGACAAAGTTTATTTGGACTGTCAACAGGTGCTAGATACACACCAAAATGTATTATAGTAAGTATAATTTATAATACTTACTCGTTGTATAACAAATTTTTGTGTGCATCTATAGCACCTGTCATAAATACTTAAATGTATTGTTATAATTATTCATAACAGCCATTTTTTCTCACATTTGTGACCTCAATGCTGATTGGCTCATTTAGAAGCGAATTAGCATTGAGGTAACAAAAGTGAGAGAAAGTGCATGTGGCTGTCTCCGTTTGGATTTCCGATCATCAGTCTGACCTGCTTGAAAACTGGACTCGGTGTCTGACATATCATATATAATGTAAGTTGAAATTCAAAAGAAGAGATGACCAGACAACATCAAATGGGGAGTCTCGACAAATTTATTCCCCTTTACATGTTTTGCCCACTATGTGAATCGTCATCAGAACCTACAAGTAACTATAAGTTGGTTTCCTATTGTAGAAACACTGTACTGATGTTGAATAGTGTATACATGCCGTGTGTTTGACACTACCCACTAAAGATTTGGCGTGTCATCCCAGGGACAGCACATGTCTGACCAACTGAATTTGACTATTTTACGATGTTTCACAAAGTCTATACTGAAAATCAAACTGCATGACATATGGTAAATCATACATCAAATTAAAGAAAAACAAAATCCTGTCAATCTAGACTGCTCCAGGTGCAAATTATTATGAACAGTTATGACAAAATCACGTTTTCTCGACATTAACTTTTAGACATGTCTGATGATTCCATAAATTAGAACAGGAAAAAAGAGAGCCCAAATAATCAACTTTACAACGATCCTGGTCCCAAAAATTATGTTTTGAGAATCTCCAGAAATGAGATTTTTGCAGCAAGAAATTTTAGTGATCAATGATCCGGACACATTTTGGGTCAGACTGCCTTTCAACCTTAACCTACCTTCCATATACCATATAAATAGGGATGTACAGTAATATTCACCGAATATAGCTAAAACGTCAAATAATACTCCCCACGTGGATGGAGACATATACAACTTTGCACTGTATTGTTTCTCAGGCCCCTGTGTGTAGATTATCTTAGATTATCGACAACATTTTACTATGTGGATATGTCATGTTTAATGATGCAAAGGTTAAAACCCCCAGAAAATAACATGTCTCGCTGAAAACGATCCGCCTGATGAGCTTCTTACCTCCCTTTTCAATGAGATACTGAACAATCTCATGATACCCATTTGCCGCAGCATTTTGTAAAGGGGTCGTATAATTTTGAGATGCATAGAACAAATTCTTGTTGTATTCGGTTGAATCAGGAGATGCACCGAGTTCGGCTAATCTTTTGACTTCTTCAAAATCACCCTCCTTCGATGCCAACACCAACTTTCGGTCCAGTTCAAAGTCTTTTTGAATCATTTCAGTGCTTTTTCTTTTCCGAAAGTGCGCCATGACACATTGGACACTTCCGTGAAGGCGGGGACCGTTTAGTTTACTAGATTTTGTTATGGTCTGAACGTTTTAGACCTGCCTATACACTAAAAAATATGTTTCGGGCTAATAAAACTTTAAATCAAATTTTCCTTCCACAGATATAATCAGGTAGCATAAAAATATTTTAGTATTGATTTTTCCAAACATGTTTTGTTTTGATAATATTATAAGTTCTCCCTGAGGGTTTTTAGTGTTGGAGGTAGAATTATTATCTACGACAAGAAAGAATGGCGGGCAAAAAGAAATACAAAGACCTGGTATGTAAACAAACATATTTTTTTTTACTGTGAAACATTTCAAAAGAATATTAGTTACCTGTTATATTGGTTAGATAGTTCAGATATCAACAATATCTATTTAGTTTCATATGTCACAGACATAAAGTAAAATAAACCAAATCAAACATCCAAACATCAGTGCTGGTGTCTACAACTTGCAAACACCTTCATATTTAGGTTTCTCTACCCTTCTAAGCTTACACTACAGGTTCCTCTGCTGTCACTTTCCTCGATCTTTACTTACAATAGGTATGGGTTTGTAATAGTGATGTTATTCTCGTAAAAATATCACAAGACCACAGGGTTTAGTGCGTCATATTTATTCCATAATTTAAACTCTGTAACAAATAATAAAACAAACATAAATACACTGTCAAGCTAACCATTCATTCACAACTCACATTCACAAAGGGAAATAACTCTTACATGAACAAAGTAATCTGAACAATGCGTTACGCTATTACAATTACAAATTTACACTTCTATGAAGATCTACAATAACAGTTATAAGTAAAAGATACATTTATCTTTACATTTCAAATATATTTAATTCTACAATAATTCAGATATAGGCTAGGGTAGTCATACCTGACCTGAGTGTGGTCCAGTAACGGAAGGCACCTGTGCATGACACACGCTAAAGGTATAGGTACAGTACGTTACAATACTAAAAACAAAACAAAACCCTTCTATACTTTATCCAATTACACGCATAAAACCACGACTTACACACAAGTATATATTTCATAATTATATAGTTTATGAAATGAATTAATCAAATACAATTTATCAGAATGGTTACTTTAAATAGAGAACATCTTACATTAACTCTTTAATAATAAATCTTTTATAATATATAACAAAACCGACATCCTATATTTATCTATCTATAAGACAAAGAAATGCAGGTAGAGAATATTAGAAAGGTAAAACACTTACATATAAATTTGTCAGGTCCGTCCAGTCACAAGAAATGTCTGACACTGACTTATACAAAGAATATCCCGCCATATCGCCCAATAGAAACAACCAATGAAATAACAGAAACTACATGACGTAGCTCCACAAAGACTGACCACTCGCACGGACACTACAATTATACAAACGAAACGATACAAACGAAACAAACGCGCACAAAACGTATACATTACTACATTAATACGGACGATACTATAACGGACGACGCAAGTTACAGACGCGTTACATGATACATTAGACGATCGGGAAAATATCAAACTATACAATACTACATATCTTAATAAAACTACACTAAATTACACTAAAAAAAACCTTCTAAGCTTTACGGTAAGCAGGATGATTTCGTTAAAAAATCCAATTGCTAACTTTCCCTTTCTTAATAGTAACATATTTGATTCCCCAACCTTCAATGTTGACATGTTGCAGCTGATTTTATTTCAAGAGCTTGCTCCGAATATCTTGACTTCTGTGATAGTTGTCAACTGCTGCCGGACTTAACATGCAACACAGTCAGGGGTGTAAAAATATTTTTTCAGGATACTAGCCCGGGACTAGTAGACAATAATAATCCACTAGCCCAAAATAAAAAATTGCTAGCCCGACAAATACAAAATGGATTAAGCTTACAACCTGATCCCACCACCATCTATATCTCATTCACAGATGAATATGTTTTCTTTCAAATTTTTTTATATTTTATTATTAATAACTTGATGCCTTAAAAGTTATTGAAACTTGAACCAAAATAAAAATTAGCAAACATTTTTTTTTCTAACTCTTTCTGAAAATCAGTCTGAATACCTGTTTCAGTATAAGAAAGCATCAAAATTATAACAAACATGGCGGACATGCCGACTTTTCTTCTTCCAAAAACGGACAAGTCGCCAAGGTTGGAGCAATAATTGTCCGTGTGCGCATGTACGTGGGGTATAGGGTGACTATCATAACATATACATGTCAATGTTATAAAAAATACATATATATACAGAGGCACAGTGTTACAGCATTTGACCGTGATTTATTGATGTGAGGACAGTGCAGACGTGTGTAAGGAACGTTAAGAGAGGACTTGTTAGTATTCGTCCCTTGGGCAACTCAAGTGCACAGGTTTGAACACACAGGACAGCCAAAAGTTAGTATGGGCATGGAAGGGATTGTTTACGAAGAGATGGTCAAAATGCTGTAAACTGTGATAGGAATTAGAAAGAGCTGTTTGAGTGTGTCAGCAGTGGCTACAGAGACTGGCAGGGAGTTCCAGTCTCTTATAGTACGTGGAAAATATGAACATTTGTAACAAAAATCTTTTGTTGCAATAATGGGTTTAAACTTGTGCTTGCCTCTTGTCTATGAATCTGATTTGATAAGTGAGCTATCTGGTATAGCTATGGAGTGATTTTGTATTTGGTACATGTTGATCAGTCTCGCATTCCTCCTCCGTTTCTCTAAGGGGTCCCACTGAAGAGTAGGTGCGGGAGCAGTAATCATTGAACACAAACCTGTCTGCACTCCTTTGTACTGCTTCTAGCCGAGTGGTGTGGTCCCTCTGGTAGGACGTGTACATGGGAGTCAGTGGGCTGAACCACTGTATGTTAAGTAGATTGAAGTCACCTGCGAGCCAAAGTGTATCTCGGTTATGGTCTTTTTGTAATGTCTGTAACTCAGTACAGACAGAGGATAGGTATTGTTCGTCCAGTTGGTTTGGGGGCCTGTATAATGAGGCAACAATAAGATTGCGTCACTTGTTTATCGCAATCTTAACAATAACAAGTTCAGACTGTATACTACATAGGAGTTCAGAACTAATGAGATTATTCTTGACTGGGATTAGTACGCCCCCATACCCATCAGCTCTGTCACGGTCTGTACAATGAGAGGATAGGGAGGAATAGCTGTTGTGAGTGTGGAATGATGAGAGTGTGGATTGGTACAACAAGAAGGAATGGTTGGGGATGGAGCAGTTTGGACATATCCAAACTGATGAAGATTCAGCGAGGCTCTCGTATAATTTGGAATTGAGGCCTATACAGTCTATGTGGCACCATTGGTCACACTGATCACAGGCTATGCATTGTTGTTTCCATTTACAGGTTTTGGTGCAAATGAAACATGGATATTTTACCGGGCCTTGATTAGGGTTGATCTGGTTACTATATGTACCAGACATATCAGTAGGTGTATGTTACGGCTGTCATTAGGAACTGCTCTAAGGGGAACTCTGAACTGATGGGCATGCTGAAACCAGTAATAAAGTGACAGGTAATTTGTTAACCTGTAAGAGCAAGGTATACAAGGGAGACAATCGTCTATGTATCAATGTTGATGTGGTTGAGAATGGTAAAGATTGGTGTCAGGAATCTGAGAAACGAAAGTTGTAAATGTCACTAGAGTGGCCAAAAGTGAGTACATGATGATCTCTTGCAAGAACAATATTGGAAAATCATACAAGAAAAAATTCAAGACATGTATACATACATGCTGTCAGTTGAGTAGTGTTCAGCCTGCAGGCTGACTTATAACATTGTGGCCGGTTTGCAAGAGTTAGCGTCGGGCAGGTGAGCTTATGTCATGGTGCGGCGTCGGTCGTCCGTCCGTCGTCTGTCAACTTTTCTTTTAAACAACTAATTCTCAAGAACGAACAGGCGTAGAGCCATGATATTTCATATGAAAGCTTCGTTGGTAGGAGCCCAACAAAGTTTGAGAACGAAAATGACCTTGACCTACTTTCAAGGTCACAGGGATCAAATGTGTCAAACTCTTCAAACGACTTCTTCTATAGAACTGAAAGGTTTAGAGTCTTTATATTTTGCGGGTGGCTTCCTGGGATAGATCCCGACAAAGTTTGAGAATGAAAATGACTTTGACCAACTCTCAAGGTCACAGCGGTCAAGAATGTCAAACGCTTCAAACAACTTCTTCTGAAACTTCTTCTGAAGAACTTAAAGGTATAGAATCTTCATATTTGGCTGATTGCTTCCTGAGATAGAGCCAGACAAGGTTTGAGAACGAAAATAACCTTGCCCTACTTCCAAGGTCACAGGGGTGAAATGTGTCAAACACTTCAAACGACTTCTTTTGAAGAACTGAAAGGTAAGGAATCTTCAAATTTAGCTGGTGGCTTCCTGCGATAGAGCCCAACAAAGTTTGACAATGAAAATGACCTTGAAGAACTGAAAGGTAAGGAATCTTCAAATTTAGCTGGTGGCTTCCTGCGATAGAGCCCAACAAAGTTTGACAATGAAAATGACCTTGAAGAACTGAAAGGTAAGGAATCTTCAAATTTAGCTGGTGGCTTCCTGCGATAGAGCCCAACAAAGTTTGACAATGAAAATGACCTTGACCTACTTTCAAGGTCACAGGTGTCAAATATGTCAAAAACATCAAACGACATCAAACGACTTCTGAATAATCGAAAGGCATAAAATTATAATATTTGTCTGGTGGCTTCCGTGGAATAGAGCTCACCAAAGTTTGCAAATGAAAATGACCTCAACCTACTTTAAAGGTCACAGAGGTCAAAAACATTTCAAAGGATTTGTACTGAAGAACCAAAAGGTATGGATTCATAAGATTTGGCTTGTAGCTTCTTGGGTAACAAAGTTTGAGAAGGAAAAGGACATTGACCTACTTACAAAATGTACAAGGTCACAGGGAAAAATATGTCAAACAACTTCTGAAGAAGAACATAAAAGCACAGAATCTTATAATAATATTTGGCTGGTAGTTTCAACAAATGGAGCCGACAAAGTTTGCGAGGGAAATATTTGTAGTGCAATATAATTTTTAATTAGTATTTTGCTGTGACTGCTTCAATATTCAGGTGAACGATACAGGCCTTCTGGGCCTCTTGTATGGAGACATGAACTTTATTTCTGTACCTTACATGCTTAAATCAAATTAAAGAAAATGATTTGCAACAAAGAGGGCCAGTTTGGTGGTTAGAATAGACTTTCAATACTATTTAGGTTGTGAATAGTGCCTACTGTCATACATAGCACACATCT